GTGGTTTATATACTGGCCCTATTCTGGTATAGGTTCTGCTTCACCTTGTCTCAGGAGACGTTCCCCAAGATTATAGACTTGTGGTTCCATGTCGTTACCACTTGATTCACTATCTTCGAAAGGTTCTTCATCTGAATCTGGATTCCAACCCGCATCTTGTTGATTGTAGGGGTCCCCAGGTAAATTGTATTCAGCCATATTGTTTGTATTAGAAGTAAGGATAGTAAAATACTCCTATAGTATTTTAATCTTTGTGGTCTGTTCTATAGTTCTTCTGAATATGTATGGTTGGTAAGTTTTAGACATGTCGCAACACTACTATCACTCCCAAACACATGTTGGTCATATCTCAAATCAATCTAGTTGAGCAGGCTATATTAATCCCAGATATGATTACATAACTGCTCAGGTTTGACTATAATGTTCAACATTCAAATACTTTTAAGTTCTTATGACTGTGATATTGTACTTGTAGGTATGAGTGTTAGTATACTTCTTGTAAAACTACTTAAAATTTTAAAAAATATACTTGTAGTCAGAGCTCTTAGCCCCGGTGTATTTATAGTTCGTATATCTTTTATGGATTGATATACTGAGTTCACTATAAACAATGCTCTGATACCAATTTGTCACACCCCCAAACTAGATGGCGGAAACGTCCGGGGGTGGAGGACTTCATTTGTAGTATCACAACACATGCATCATAGTAATCAAAGCACAAACAACCATTGTATTTAAAAAGTATAAGTATTTACATGTGTTCAATCATTGTATATTGAAACCAAAATAGTTATACAAAAGAAGAAGATATGACTCAAAATAGCTCCATCTTCTCAAAAAGCTCGGGGAGTATCTATTTATTGTTTCCCTGAGAATACAAGTAATTTGAAAAGAGAGTATCAACATAACGTTGAGTGAGTTCATAAGTATTTATGTTTAAAAGTATTTTTCTGTATCTTGAATATGTAAATTGTTCCAGAAAATCCTATATTTTATGTGGTATATGAAAAGTAGTTTTATTCTCATAAAACCGTTCTATTTTGTAAACCAATGTTCTATATTTGTATTCCTTTATGTAAAAACTTGTAACTGTGAGTGTGCCTGGTTCCACCAGCTGTTATTGTAAACTGTAATGTACTACTGTAGTTTGTATTTTCTAAACTAGTACTTTGAAAATGTACTTATGTTTAGTTGATTTTACACTAACGTATTGTTAATATCTTTTTAATGAGTTATTATAACCATACTGAGACTAGATGGCCTGAAACAAATGCTTTATAGGCGTTTAAACTGTTGATAACAATTGTCACTCATTGGCGTGTATGACTGACTGTAGCTAGCAGCCTGAGTGCGAGGTTGTCAGTCCCAATAGAGATCTACACACAACTTGTTTCGATCTCCTGACTGGAGACTCTGGTTATAATATCAGGACTTTAACTATATTGTTTAAATGAATTAAACAACCTGAATTGAATGACTCATAAAAAGCATATAAACGTTACATGTATAATAGTTATGAAAACCCAATTATCCTGAAATAATGATTGATTGTATATTCCTGAATTAGTATTCTTAATATGTATTTGAAAGTTGTATACCCATGATTTGTTTTGAATCAAACCTTTGTTTCTTGTAAAACGGTGTATTCTAGTATACTTGAATCATGAATTAATGTTCTATGTATCATAAATTATACGTATTATAATTTATATGTACTTTCGGAATTGGTATTAACTGTTTTTGAATGTAACCCCTTGCTTAACATGTTACAAAGGGTATTTAAACTAGATGAAATAGATTTTATATTTACATACATATACAGTTATATATAAGTAAAATTTAAACGACATTCGGACAAGTAACCAATACTATAAGCCCACATCCCAACAAAGAAAATGACCCAAAATGAGTTATCAGTCCTAAGCCTTTTAAATCTTTATATATATATATATATATATATATATAATATATAGATATATATATATATAATATATATATATATATATATATATATAATATATTAGCTATATATATATCTATATATATATATATATATCTAATATATATATATATCTATATATATATCATATATTATATATATATATATATATATATATGAATTTGGGGAAAATATAAGTTTATACGAGTTTAATAATTTGAAGTATTTTTTATGACTTAATGTCATTTGATCACAATTTGAAATCATTTGTTTATAACACAAAATTCTTTTGTTAGACTTGTATTCCCCCCCCCCCCCCGCCCCCTTAAAATAGTAAAAGATATGAAAATACGGGGGGTATGAACTCACTTGATAGGTGGTGATTTGGATAGCGTTTCGTTTTCTGGAAAGGAGTTTATTTAAGAAAAACCGGTTTTACTCGGGCAGAGTTTTCACTGGAGAAGGTTGTTTTTCTCGAGAATCTCGAGGCTTGCTTAGGGTTTTAGATATGATACCGGGGCTTTGGGGTTGTAAGTAAGTTTGTTGGAGTGAAAGAGGATGGAAAATGGTGTCAAAATGGGGTTAAAACCGGAGAGACTCACACCATATATATAGGCCGAAGCCTCGGATCCGAAGGAAGGGAGAGGGACGCGTGTCTCGGACAGGTGACTAGGGGGAGGCTTCGCCTCGGACAGCTGGCAAGGCGCATCGGAACAGGAGTGGGCCGAGCCTTCGGTCAAATCGGAAGAGGACACGAGGCGACACGCGGCAGCCTCGCATGCGAGGGGACGTGGCCGAACATGCACCATGCGATTTTTCCCGGTTTTCAATATTTTTCGATTTTTGTGCCCAAAACTTCCGAAATTCATAACTTTCGCATACGAGCTACGTTTTCGACGTTCTTTATATGCACGCGTAGGTAAAATTATACCCTACGACTTTCGTTTAGACCTCGTCGGCTAAATTTTAATATTATTATTTTTAACAGATCGGGACAGGAAAATCCATTAAAAATTCATAACTTCTTCATCCGACGTCCGTTTTTGTCTGTCTTTTTACCGTTGTACTACTATTGACGAGACCTTCAATTCTCGTTTAGGTTGTGTTGGCTGAAAATCATTCGATCTTTATTTCGAGTTTTTAGCTGTATACTGCTATACTGAAACTTAGAAAAGTCATAACTTCCTCATACGAAGTCAGATTTTGACGTTCTTTTTATGAAAGTTCTCGGTTTAACATATTCTACAACTTTCATTTAGATTGGTAAGGCTAAAAAGCCTTTTATTGAAAAATCACTTTTCACCCTGAACAGTGTTTTGTCGGTTTTGTCGCGGATCTTCGATTGGTCATAACTTCTTCGTTATAACTCGGATTTTAGTGTTCTTTATATTTTTGGAAACCTTGTTATAATCTCTACCGCTTTGTTCATCCCAATCAAGATTGTTTAATACTTCATTTTTGAGGGTCAATTATGTAAATGTACACAGTATGCTAAAATTTCTCTTTATTATATTAAAAAGAACTACAAATTGACCTCTTTTATTACATAGGTTTGAAATAATGGTTTGTTACAACACATGAGACATATATACCATACACACAACTAGAAAAACACCATATTAAAAAACTAAAATTAAAAAAGATGCATACATGTCTAATAGATATAGACAAATCGAGTAATTAAGAAATTAAAACTATCAACTACATCCATGTTACGTCGTTACCCGATAAGAAAAGAGAAACAATTCCACAAAACTAAATCAGGTGTCTTTAGAATCACTTCTTTCGAACATGTGAATTAAAAAAAGGAGTATTGTAAATACATAGTGAAAAACTTTCATTTTTATATGATATCCTTCAACGATTAATCGAAAAGCATAAATTCAATCTTGAAAGGAAGAAAGTTTTGAGACAAGTAGACGGTAAGAGAAATACTTTCAAATTAAAACATACCCGAAATGCTTATCAGGGTCATTGCCATCACTAAATAAAAAAATGAAAAGAAGAAAAGAAAATTGCAACAATTACAAAATAGAAACAACAGAAAAATGGGGTTTTAAGATTTACATACCATAGATGGCCAGCCTGAAACTTTCATTTTCTTCGGGTTGTCTGTCATTGCATACACAAAAATGTAGAAAAAACACAGAAGAACGGATAAAAAAACCTAAAAATCAAATAAGATCTATAAAAACTTAAACACATATTGTAGAAACAGGGGTCGTATGTGATACCTTAAAGCCATTGACCAAGAGATGATTTGCAGGACTTCCTCCCATACCTATGCATGAATGAAATACATTTAAAAGAAAAGTTAATTTCTTTTTGTTACTTTTTTCGAGTAAATTGCATTTTGATCGCTATTTTTTTTGCAATTTTAGTACCGAAACTTTTATAATGCAAATTTGGTACTTGTTTTTGGGTTTCCATTAATTTTATTCTCTATGTAGTCTAAGTAAATAAGCTACTTGTAAGCTCTCTTTTTTTTTTTCAATCCTAAGACTATTATTTTAAGAATATGCAACTTTAACCTGCTTAGTTTATATCACAACATACACAACTATATCAAGGTCCACAGTCCACAAATTTCTTTACTGGTAAATAATAATAACAAATATAATGATCATACCAAGGAATATTGGAATGTCATAAAAATCAAGACATATCTCTTCTTAGTAGGGTCTGTTTCTCTTCTTGCTCTTCAACAATCAAAGGGTCTCCCACCATTGTAAAATTAACAACTGATTACTCCCTCATTATAAAAGGTCAAAATAAAACAATGGGGAAGAAAGCCATAAACGAAAATGAAAATTAGACCTACATCGAAAGCAAATACAAAAAATGAGGCATGAAATCTTAGATCATTTTCCTTGATAGGGGAGCACTTGAATTGAAAATTCTTTAATTATCATCTACACCTTGTGAAATGAATGATTAGTTTTGGTAAATAACATATATATATATATATATATATATATATATATATATATATATATATATATATAACTTACAAATTGTGATAAAGTTGTCAAATTAACTACATATTGATATGAATGACTGAGTTTATTAAAAACTAACATACATCAATTGTTAATCAGTTACAGATCTGGGAAAACTAACAAATATGGTTTTTGAATGTGTTCATCTGAAATGACCATGAATTTGAAACTAAAACAAATATCAAAATCATTGTTGAGATTTTGGGCTTGAAATCTTATGGTATCTCTGATCTGCAAAACATCAGGATCTAGAGTGACGTTTAGGCCTAAAATCAAGATCAAGAGTGATGTTTAGGGCTAAAAATCGTTTCTTACCTTGAATGTGCAGTGGTTGCATCTAAAAACGTTGCATAAGTGTTTTTGTTTCGGTTGTCATGATAAACTTATCAACTGTAAGGCTACATGTTAGAGCATCTTTAAAAGTGCCTACAACGGTTGTATTTGAAGGAAAACTTAAACTATAACCACCTACAAGAATTAATAAAAGGATTCAATGTTAATTTATGAACAAAAAAACAATGCCAGAACCCTACCATTGATGATGAGTTTCCTAAAAACAAAACAATCACTTCTGTTACCACTTCTAGTCATAAGCCTTGAGGGTGATGCTGCCACCAGAAACACCTCCACCCGTGGTACCTTTATCTCCATTTATCTAACTTTCCTGAAGAAAAAAATAGAAATTAACTTCAAGATTTCCGAATAAAAGGAAGTTTATCGTGTTTTTTTTTCTAAATATGAATTTTAAGGGATTACCTACTGTGAAACGTAAAATGAAATACTGATAGTGTATTAGCAAACTCGTCAAAACCAAGGATTCCATTATGCTTTGTTTCAAATACGTCAAACACCTGAAAAGTTAAAGTATTAACAACAGGCTTCCATAACATTGTCAAACAATCAGAATACTTTAGTTGTAAATACTAAATAAACATACCCGATCAACAAACATACTTTCCTTTTTATTTGTCTTAAATAATGCCAATTAGACCTCTTCCTGTGATACAAATGAACTTTTTTGTTATATTATGAAATAAGAGCAAGATAGAATTTGTAAAGAATGTTTATCAAACCTTATTGAGTAATCCATCATCAATCACACGACTTCTAATATTCTTAAATAACTCATAAAGTGCTTCTATTTCGCTTACACTAACTGCATTACACCATACACGAGTTTTGTTAGCATGATATGTGAGTGTTTTCATGCCAAAACAAACAATTATACAAGCCTAATAGTGAAATATGGATCAAAAGGGTATACACACTGTCTCTCTGGCTAGAATTTCAGGATCTTCAAGTATTGTTAATTGTCTGTATGCTTCAAGATAACAACAATGGAGCAGGGAAGAAAATAAATGCTTGGCCCCCTATAAGCACTGAGACATGGTACTTGTCACACATAAAAATGCTATATGATCATTACTGGAAAGAAGACCAAAAGAAAAGTCAGAGGTTTGACCTGCTTATACAAACACGTAGACAGAAGAGCGATAAATGAACATATAGGAATAACCTTTCGACCATTTCGTGTCGTTGCTAAAATAAATATATTTTTTTTATTTGGGGCAACTAATGCCTCTAGGACTTCATTGCAGGTCGAGAAAGTGGTGGAAATCGATCAATTATTCTTCGTCATCAATTGCTACTCAAGCAAACTCTGTGTAGAGTTGATTTGACAAAGTAAGAACTGATAGTTGTTAAACACCTGATAATTGTGTTTCAATAGCAAAATTGAAAGCAATTCGATGCATAATTTACTCTGATTTAAATGAGCCCAGATCGAAAAAGTAGCTTTCGAAAAATTCAAATTTGATTAAAGATTCTAACTTTTTCGACATTCTAGAATCTTGAATTGAACATGAAAACACGATAACATACCTCGTGATTCTTGGAATCAAGTCCTTTGTAATTAGCTAGGAAGAAATAAGGATGATGGTCATAAGAATTAGTTGTTGAATAATCTAGAAACACATAGGAGATGTGGTTCGACGGTGGTTGCATTGTGTATAGAGGAGATTAGGGCTTTAAATTAAAGCGGGACCGCGTACATATTTTTCAAAAGAAAAGGTGTTTGATTTTTTTTTGTGAGGATGACCTCATCAAATTAATCAAAGGGTGGAAAACTATTAATGAAAGTCAATCAATAGGCCTTATTGTTGAAGGTGATGTAATAAGGTTCCTCTTTTAATATATATATACACACACACACACACACATATATATATATATATATATATATATATATATATATATATATATATGTGTATATATAATATATACATATAGTGTATGTGTGTGTGTGATGCGGTGATGTGTTTGTGTTTATTTATTAAAATGGCTATAATATTTATTTATTCATATGATATATAATAATTAAATATATAGTTTTCATCTTGTTTATTTTTGTAAGTAATAAACTAGTTGTAGAAATAGTTTATTTATATAAAAATGTAACAAGAATGAAGATGGTGGTCATTTTGAAGATTAAAAGTTTATAAACTTGATTTTGTTAATGTTTTACAAACTTTATAAAATTATTTTTATAAACTTGCTACAAGGTGTTGAAGCAACTGGGAGTATGAAGACATTTCAAGATTTTTGGTCCCTTTATGCCACTTAAGAATGGACTTGACAATTTTGTGATGTGTCATAAAATGTCAGTAGTTTATGGTTGGTTGATGCATATATGTTTTGCATACTTGTGTTGTTGATTTTCATGTTGATATTATATTATAATTGTTAAATTTAGATTTCACATGCAAAATAATATTTTGAACGTATTTAACATTACAATGAGTTTGGTTTTAACGAAAGTTATCTTTTAACATAGTATGGTAAATAAGTTTTAAAAATAAATTAAGTTTTATCGTATGAAACTAGCTAACAGTAAATTTCACATTTAAAATTATATAAGTTTAAAATTAAGATTTTAGAGACTTATTGGACTCTAAACCTTGTTTTATGAAAGGATGTTTTATTAAAAGGTTAGTAAATGTTCTTTTGCGCTAAAATGACGAAACGTAATACTATAAAATTCAAAATTGAATCGCGCTGATTATATATTTGGATATTATAAAAGGAATGTCACAACTAGCATTTTTAGCTAGGAATATTTGTCCTCATGTAAACATCAACTATTGTAAGACTTGTAAGCTAAGTGGATATCATACTCTATGCTCATTCAAAATCATCCATTTGAATCAAAACTCCTTAGTGAAGTTCAAAACCTAATACAATGCACCTCATATACTTAACTATGGGTCTGAAATCCTAAATATTCCGGTTCGAATTTATTATGGACTAGGATCCTCTTATTGGGCCTAATGGGCCAGTAAACCTTCTATTTGATAATTTTGGGCCAATGAAACCCATTTGGGCTCTAGTTGGGCCCACATTCATCAAACTATAACAATTGGTCCATGTTGGGCCGAAAACAACTCACTTATTCTCATGGACCTTTATTAGCCGTAAACCCCACCTCTTTACCACCTTTGGGCCGTGAACCCTCAAGAAGGGCCCAATGGGCCGAAAATTCTCAACTTGGTCCTCATAATGTCAAACATGAGCTAGTGGGGCCCAAAGTTTTCCTCTCTCTTTTCTTCTCCCTCATTCTCCGCCCAATTTGTATAAAAGAAAAAAAAATTGAATGGACTAAATTGATGACAACTCATGTTTATATGGGGGTAATCCAAGCTAATGCCTCCCATACTTCTAGACCAAATACTTCATGTATTAGCCAACCTAATCCTTCTCTCTCTTCCTTCTTAAAATCTCGGCCAAGGGAACATCACCACCACTCTCATTTTCCACTTCAATTACACTAGAAATCCTCTCAAGAACACAAAGAATTTCTTTCCACTTACTCTAAAAATCATGTGGTATTTGAGAAAATCCAAGACTTCTACTTCAAGAATCATTAAGTTTGGTAAGTTATCATCATTCTCAATTGATTTGATTTCATTTCATGTTAACATTCACACTCTTAAACACTCTATTTCGTGATTCTTGCCTCTTAGAACACCCTATGTTCGAAAATCTCTTCAAGGGAGCTTCTAAAGCCGAAAACTCCTCTAATCTTCATCAAGAACCGAAATCTTCAAAGCAATGTGAGTTCATACCCCCTATTTTCGGTTTTTACTTTGTTTTAGGGGAGAATACAAGTTGTTTTGTGTAGATCTATGTGTATATGCATGATTTTGTGTGTTTTTCATATTGTATGTGTGATTATGTGTTATAAACTCCACGAACTTAAAGATCTACTAAACGATGATGCTATTGGTATAACATAACACTAATTTCAACTTATCTTACGAGGAAATGGTTTTAAAATACATACAAGTTACTTAAAGCTAAGAAAATTTCATAAAAGGGGCTAAAGGTGACAAAATGACCAAAAAGGAGTTTATTTAAGTAACTCACAGTTAATTGCGACATTTGAGACCCTACAAGGACTAAAAATGTAAACATTTTCATAAATGGGCATTATTTGGGCTTCTCACGGCTTTGGGCCAAAATTTGTAACTTTTTGGATTTTTGTGGGTTTAAATGTAATTTTCAACAAAGTTGTGTCAAAAATGAAAAATTTTTGAAAAGAGGGATTAATAATGTGAATTTATTAAAAATTTGGGCCAAAAAGATGAATTTATCTATAATGGGCCGAAAATGCACATTTTTATAAAAATGAAGCCAAAAATGATATTTTTGACAAAAGCGAGTTAAAAATGTTATTTTTACAAAAACTAGTCTTAAATGCATGTTTTGTTCTTAAAAGGGGCCTAAAATGTTATTTTTACCAAAAAATGGGCCTTAATTGTAAATTTTCGGCTTAATGGGCCAAGAATATCATTCTTACAAAAAGTGGGCCTTTTATGTCATTTTGGTAAATAATTGAGCTAAAACCAGCAATATAATAACAAACGGGCTAATTATGTCATTCTCATGTTTAGTGGGCCTTAGTGACCTATTTATATGCTTGATAGGCCATGTATACTCTTTACATGTTATTGGGCCTTGTTAGCCCATTTACATGCTCGACGGACCTTGGATACTCCTTGCGTGCTTATTGGGCCTGTAAATAATATACGTGTGAAATGGGCTTTAGTTTTCCTTTTACATATATATTGGGCCCGGGATATATAATCTCGTTCCTTATGAGCCTAGAAATGATATACATGCTAGTGGGCCTTAGTTGTCCACTTCCATGTTCACTGGGCCTGGAATGTACCTTATATGTTTCTCTTCGCGTAAATTCGATTAAGGATCTAGTGAGACGTGTCAGTTGAAACCTATTGAGTGTACGATCGTAGCCTGTAGTTATAACCAGAGTCTCTTGGAGGGAGAGCAGGGGTTTGTGTATAGATGTATACGGGGATGACACCCCACACCTGAGCTGTTCGCTACAGTTAGACTAAACCAGTCTAGGGTGATGAAAACCTTACCTTATTTCCGTCGGCGTCCATAAACGCCAAGACAGGCGAAATTGTCATTATCTAGTATGGTTATAACGACTCACTTAGAGGAATTAACGTTATAAAAATTTACGGGAAAACCATTCTCTTTTCTCTTTAGATTACTCGGTAACTTACTCGCGCAGGTACTCAACCTCGGGGTTGCTTTACCAGCATTCTCTTTCACAGACAACATAGGGTTGTCTGGGGGGCATACTCTTTATATTCTCTTTACATTCTCTTCATTCTCTTGTTGCATTCTAGTAAACGATAACACACATGCCTTAATACAAGATCGGACACAAACATACGAAACTGTTTTAAGAAAATATAGGATTTTCTTGTGATTACAAAGTTATACAAATCATTTTCTCAAACATGCTTATGACGTCACCAACATTTTTATGTTGACCTTTTTAAAGTAACTTGTATTATCAGGAAGCCGTTGAATAGGTTGGGCAGAACGAATTCATGGATATTTTGTCATATTTTGTTTTATCATATTTTAACTATTGGGCATGTAATATTGAAATAGAATACTTGATGTAAACTATGAATGTTGTTATATTACATGTGTGATGATGATGATGTTAAGTTTCAATTATATACTCTGTGATGATACTACAAGAATGAAGTCACGCAAAGCCCCCAGACGTTTCCGTCATCTGGTTCGGGGGTGTGACAAGGAAATTGTTATAATGTGATTTTAAATAAAAGTATACCATGAATTATTTTTATGCATGCTATAACCATGATATAATATGTTTTTTTAACTAGAATTTTAAAAACATCAAAGACAATTTATATAAACTCAAATATATGCAATCTTATTTGAATGACACTCGCTCGTCACTTGTATAAGCTGGTAGGATAAAGGAAACTTAACCGGTAGTGTGATCTTCTAATGATCAGCGTGTATTCATGATTTTTATAACCTTGTTACAAGCCGATTACACAAGTTATTCAAAATGGATGCTTTGATCAGTAATATATTATGATAAAGATCACATAAGCAATAAATATCTGAGGCATAAATGAGATCAAACAGGTCTATTAAACTTTGTTATTACGTTCCCATAACACTAGGAATTACATAATTAAAAATAATTTATACTCAATATCTACCTAGTTAGATTCAATGAATGGGATAAATGATACACAACCATTTATTTGTTTTGAAACTTGGATCCTAACCTTTAATAATTAATGTTTTTGGAAACTTAAGAATATTAATTATTGAAGATTTAAACATTGAAAATGCTAAATTCATTTTGTTAAAATTTTTTAGATGAAAACAAAATCAAATCTCTTAACCATGCATCGTCTTTCACTTGCTGATCTACATGAAACAATAATATTCGATGGATATAATTTCTATGAATGGCTTCGTATATTAAAAGGGCATCTCGAAAGATGTTAGAAATTGTATATACTAAAAGTTATTCCTGACTTTTGAAGGATTTTGAAAACTTGGAAGCATTTCATACGTTTCGTTACTTAAATCAGATATTCCTAAGATACAAAGCTATTTGGTGTGACCCAGCTAAAACACAG